AAAACGCCTCAGGTTACTATCGAAGAGATTTGTTTAGTAAGTAGGGTCACCGAAAGAACTGCTACAACATGATAATTGCTGTCTGGTTAGTGAATTCAAAAATAGATGCTTCAAGGAGAGACCAAAGTCTCTTATTATACTCAAGGTAAATCTGTTATTTTGATCATGATGTCCTAATCTATTTCATACCGGTATCGCACAAAAAAGATTGTGAAGATACTCTCTGCTGCCCAATTCGGCAGGGACTATTTACCACGTGCATGGCCAATAAACCTGAGCTATTAAAAAATCTATTTACCACGTACATCTTTGTGTGGCAAATAAGTATGGGCAGGTTCACATTTTCTAGGGACAGGTAGACCATTTTTTTGACCAATCATGCTTTAAAAAAAAAAACTGGAATTTTTTTCGCCGCGTTATTAGTAGGCCTACAGTGGTATAACCTACAGTCAAGTAACCTAATTTCGTGGAAACCTATTATTCGTGGATTTCCGGAAAGGATTAATAATTTACATGAGCGACCTTGCGCGACATCCGCATTAGTTTGTTTTGATAAACATGGGTTTTCTCTACAATATCAGCTAGTAGAATGAATTCAGTACTTTCAAGCATGGTAAAATGTATTAATGTTTACTTTGACAAATACAAAATGGCGGATTTCACTTATTACCAAACGTCACAATTTTTTATCGGCCGAATTTCCTTACAATCCCAAGCGGTAATCGGAATTCCAAGTGTCGTCTACTAGAATATATTCCAATGAATGAAGTCACGTGATCAATTAGCGGATTCCGTGTCAGCAGAAAATTTCTATGGAACACAAAGTGGACCATATTCTGATGTTGTTTCAGTGACTTTTAGCAATAAAACACGCTACGTATCTTATTTTGTCAGTCACTTTTTTTCTTTAAAATTGTGGTTCTTTGAAGGAATTGTCACTAGAATTGATATTAAAGATAAATACTAAGAGAAGTTAATTATACCACCCGGTATCCATACAACGTGTTTTTCTAGACTTATTTATAGATCAAACATTGTACACGAAAATAGGTGACGCATTCTGCCGCCGTTGCCGAGTTGGTTGCTCATGAAATATGGGTCAAAGTGAAGGATTCATAAAGAAAATCGAAATAAACCAATTTTAATTATTTTGTAGAATATCTGAGGAAACATCTAAGACATAAAATTTTTTTTTCGTTTTTTTAACTTTGACGAAATTCGGTGTTGAATCCTTATATCCACGAAAATAGGTTACACTACTGTATATTTGTGCATAAAAGGATTCAACACTGAATTTCTTCAAAACTGAAAAAAAAGGAACATTTTGTTTTTTT